AACTGATAGTCATCGCTCTTGGAGCTTCTTCTCTCTCTCTCTCGCGTGCGACCGCGCGGACGGTCAACGCCCCCGCAAGGAGAGAAAGCTTAAAGTTCATCATCTTCCCTCGACGCACCCACTTTTAAGAGAGAAGAATTGTGTCAATTGTTGTATGGATTCGGTGTTGGTTCGGATGACCGGGAACGCGGGATCTTGCCCGTGTTCATCGAGTACCTCCGACCGTCTCATCTCGCTACCGACCTTCCCCATCACAGATAACGACAACGTCTAGTGCGATGCGGACGTACGGCGCGTGCTGAGGCGGGCGGAGCAAGTGTGTTGGCAAGACCCRCCTCGGGCGTGTGATATAAGGGGGAACGGGTTTGTTCTGATTGATCGTTTTGATTCCCCGACTCTAATATTGCCTTACACAAGTTTAACGGTGTTGCCCTGGTCGGCCGCTCACGCCGCGTGGCGGCCGCAGTTTGATTGTCGCTGGTGTCGCCAGGGGGGCTCGTGTTCTTGGCGACGGCTGGTCCTGGGTTACGAGGGAGCGACACGTTTCCCCGAGCTTTCCCGTAGTGCGGGGACGCTGCCCGCGCAATTTCGAATTCGGATGCCGACGAGTCCTCCCGCCGCGTTTCCCTCCCGGAAACTTTCGTGCGGACTCTGTGAGTCCGACGCCGAGTCTTGACGGCCTCGAACCAACCACCTTTACAGCAAAGACCCGAGGGTTCGGTCACTTCGTGAGAACCGAGGATGAGGCCTGAAGGCTTCGAACCCACCACCTATCCCCCAAACCCCTGATGGCCGAAGTTTTGTCTTCCGCCGCCATGGCCCTCTCCCCTTGATGCCTTTTTCCGTCCCGATGCATGACGGCAGTTCATTTTCGCGGAAACCTTTTTAATTTTATCGTTTCGGAGTGATCCGACCCCCACGGGGCTCCGCGACGACAGTTCGACTCCGGGGAAAACCTCTGGCACGAAACGAGGGCCTCCCGTTCCGTCCGGGAGACTCAACCCTTACGGCCAAAAATCCTCGGCCACGCCCCTCCTAGAACTCTGATCGGCGACCCCGTAAGGGAAGCCGCGAGGGGGCGTGAGGTTGCGTATCACAAGCGTGAGGCAGTGGCGTGGATGTGTGGCAGGTTGCACGCGGGGTTAACTTTGACGCGATGTCATCCTTATTTTGGTGGGGTTATGCTGCCGAATTACTGGCACATTGACAGCAGAGTGTTTGAGGGGAGGTGCTGCCAAATTCCGGCACGTTGCCAACACCCTTTTTGTTGGGGAAATGCTACTGGAGTGCTGCCGCGACAAGGTCAAGGCAGTTTTTAGGGAAGATCTTGCCGGGTCGCTCGACAACGTAAAGGCTTTTTAATGGGACGTGCTGCCAAAATGTTTTACCGCAGTGCACCCTCGTTTTGGGTGGTTTCGTTGGGGTGCTGTCGGATGTCCATCGAGCCAGGTTTATACCTGGGCCCTGGTTTATGGTTTCGGAGGGCCATAATTGGCCTGCAGCAAGCATTTTTGGGCGGGGGAGCAGTTTGGGACTCATAGCAGAGACAGTCCTTGGGACTTGGTGGAAGGCAGTTTGGAACTGGTGGTGGACTTGGTACAGTCCCTGGGACATTGGCAGGCCGTGAGAGTGCAACGGCACTGTCTGGGACATTGGGACTCACCTAGGGACCACCTGAGGGGGATGGTAGGTTTGTGTTCTGAGCTCGCATAAGTAATCCAATAGGATCAGCAGTTGTCTCAGTTTTATTGAGACCTCAGCAGCTGTTTGTGATTGTTCAGGGTATACTTAGCCGAGCCAGGTAATGGCCCCAGTATTTCAAACTGATCTCAAACTGTTCTGCATATGTTTTCATATGGGATGTTGGGCCCGGTTCCCACCACATGTTGCTCCCCGCGAATAGGCTGGAGCACCGTTTTCAAAAAAAAAAAAAAAAAAAAGCACATCCACGACTTCAGTTTCACAGAAGCTGGTACCCGTGCCACCCTTAAACTTTCAAGCCGTGGTGCACACTTTCTTTTTTTTTTTTTTTTTTTTTTCTGAGAAGTTCCGAGTATGAGAATTCTAGAAGAGTCTCGCCAGCATTGATTACCCGGGGATCCAGGTGATTGACTGAGCAAGCTGTTGGGAGGGGGGGTAGACCTCTTCACCCTGCAACAGGCGCCTGATATCTACTCCAACAAACTAGTCCCTCCCCCTCTGTTACCTGCTGGAGAGCGGGTCCAGCGTCCCGTGGTACACACTTCCAGGCGCAGCAAAATGCACTTTTGGGTTCGTCAATTTAGCTTCAGATGGACTGGTGGTTTATAGCTGAGGATGTTAACTAAGGCAGTGCGGCCACTGGGATTAGAAGACTCTTAAACCGCCAGTACACGGCCCCAGCCTTGCTGAAAAGAAAACTCATTGCCTACGGAAATTTCGGACGCCTGGTGTCCTAGATAAATTGAATCGGCGGCAGGCAGCCTGCGAAAAGGGCCCGCGGCCGATAGCCGGATATACTGGTGGCGGACGATAACTAAGGCACTGCCGCCACCAGGATTGGGAGACATCTTAACTGCAGACGATAGCTAAGGCAGTGCCGCCACCAGGATTGGAAGACATCTTCCCCAAGAGAATTAGGTCTGTGCTCCACTGGGAAATTCCCCTTTCCCAAATACAGTGCTCGCTCTGAAAAATAGTTATTTCCAGTTCTCCAGCTTCAAGCGCATCCGGTGGCAGATTTGATGTTCCTCAAATTGGAGAGGCTGTCACACAGTGAATTTGGCCAAGTAGTTCCCTAAACACTGTTTTCAAGATGGTGAAATGCATCGGACAACGATCGGAGTCCGGTAGAAAACCTCTGCAAGATTTTTCTGTTTGAAACCCTTGTCACTGGGTGCCATTTTCGTAACAGCCCGTCGAGTAGGTGGACCTTGAAAGACTTTAACGGGTTCTTCCTCGTACTCAGGTCAGTGCCATTTTCATAATAGCTGTGTCCAGTTCAGTAAGTGGAGCCTGAAAACTATAATTACAGTTTCTCCGCCGTACTCAGATCTCTTCTTGGGAATTTCCCCGATGAAACGCCAGTAGAGCACAAGCCATATATTTCAGCAGTTCCGGCAACTGGTACAGTTCCTGCTCTGACATCCACGGACGCAACCGATGCCTCCTGTCCATGATTGATGAGTACTGATTAGGGAAGCTGTCGCCCTCAACTTTCCGGGGATCAGTGGCCTGCAGTGAAGTTCCACTAGCAAAGAGGGTTGGACCTGAAGCCTGAGCCTGGACATGTTTGTGGAGGGGTGCAAAACTTGCTATCTATCTGCTTTTCTGCATCTGTGCATAAACTCATTGACATTCAGGCACTTAATCCGCTCCTCTTCGTACTCGTTGGACCTCACCCCTGTTTTTTTTTTCATTTTGTAATTTGAGCCTTGAGCACTGGGCACCCCTTTGAAAATTTTAAAAGACAAAACAGCACTTCGCTTTTTTTGGTTGAAAACTTTACGAAAGGCAACGGCTTTTAGACATCATTGTCAATCTGACCAGCCCCTGGTAATTAGTTCACAGCTGGACTCAAACACCACTCTGCATATCAACAACTCAAGGGTGCACTAACTGAGCGAGGCCCGTCCATGACAGCATATAGGTTTTGCCAAAGCATAAAACTCATTGAAATTCAAGCACTTTAGGGGCTGCCCCACACTACATGACTTTCAAAAAAGAACTTTGTTATCGAGAAAGCCGGCCGCAACCCTCATGACTCGTAAAAGAAAAACGAGTCTCCACATTTCTGCTATCCTCGGTACTTTCCCCATTAACGCGGCTAAATGTCACGGGCAGCCCGCAGCCCGGGGAATAATCCATCGCTGCTGCTGACATTAGGTGGGAAGCAATGCCACACAAGCTGCTGCTGACATTAGGTCGGAAGCGATGCCACACAAGCAGCTGCTCCACGGACATTTCAGGCCACAGCAGGCGGAGACTGAAAACAGAGGAAAAATAAAAAAAAATAAAAAATAAAATCCTCCTTTTACGATGCAGGGTAGGCATTGTCTCCTCTTGAATGTCTTTTCCCTCCCCCGCAGCATGACTCGCACGCATATGGCCACACCATCATGTGTTTCTACTTTGACATGTGTTTCTACTTTGAAAATCTCCAAAAAAAGTTGGCGCGTCCTACTCTCCGGAAATGCTGCGGGATCCCCAAAATTTTCATAGAAGCACCTTTCTTATGTAGTGTGGGCTCAGTAGCATAATCCGAACTACGCAGATCTTCTCATCCTCTTTGCTAGTGGGATCTCCCCCCTGAGCGCTTTTCATCATTCTCTAATTTGACCCTGGAGCACTCGACACGCCCTTTAAATTTTTAAAAGAGACAAAAAAAAAGTCAAAACGGGCACTTTTTTGTTTTTTTGGAAATAATTAAGGGCAACAGCCTTGAGATATCATTGTCGAACTGACCAGCCCCTGGTAATTAGTTCACAGCTGGATTCGAACATCAATAATTCAAGGGTGCACCAACTGAGCAAGGCCAGTCCATGACAGCACATAGGTTTTGCCAATGCCAAATGCAGCATCTTTGCTTGGAAGGAAAAACGTTTAGTTTCAAAAAAGGGATAATTTGCAAAATAACCCCATAAGTTGAGATATTTGCCAAAATGCCCCTAAAAGATGTGGGTAGAACGGATATTGCCCCTCTGATAAATAAAAATATTTTGTGAATTACCCCTGCCGTCGGTTGGACCCTCGTCTTTGCACTATACCCCTACCGGGTACCGTCCAACTGTGCAAAATGCCCCAATACTTGCCAACTTCTCCTAAGCACCATTGCGAAAAGGCCAAGGCCCAAACGGGGAGGTCCAAATTGCAAACTTGCACACCCGCCTGACAGGGGCACAACACAAAGATTTCGGCCCAAAAGGGCATTCCGCTGTACCCACATCTTTCAAGGGCATATTAGCATATATCTCAATTTATAGAGGGTATTTTGCAAATTATAACCACGCACAAAAACACAAAAAGCCAAAGAACGTTTACTGTGATAAAGGAGCAGCTCCGGATGGAAGTGACATGGCCAACCCCAGGGGCGAGGTCCCACTTGCACGGACGGATTAAGAGATTCTGGCCGTTGATCTTTGCTATCTACCGTCAATATCGCTTAATTCGTGTAAGTGGGACCAAGCCCCAGGAAACGATGAAAGGAAAACTGTGTCCTGTACGATGTACGCAAGGGACGCTGGACCCAATTACCAGCTGCTGTTGCTCCCCACCCATAGATGGAGCTACTCCCCACCCATAGATGGAGCAGCCGGACAGCCAAACCCTCAATTCTGGTGGTTGTCTCACGACCACTGGGATAGAGGACTTGTACAAGGGCTATTTTCTTCTATTAAAAAAAACAAACAAAAAAAGACCGTTCAGTGTGAGCATGCACTGAGCTTCCCCTGCTGGATGAGAGAATACCAAACCGGCCAAATCAAGTATGCTGACGATAAAGTTATTGATTGATCAATTAACAATAATTAATACTACTTTCTGCACCTCTGACGGTAGCTGGATTTGAACTTGGGTCTGTATTTCAACAGTCCATGGCTGTACCAACTCCACTTCCATCCTATGGTCCTTGCCCAAGGCGAAGTAGTGCAAAGCGCTATAGTCACTCCACTCCTCCAAACGCCCTTCGCTATCACAGCCAAAAGAGGCAAGTCCAGCAGAAGCAGTGGCAGCCACGGCGGTGCCAACGGATGAGGAGGAGGAGGCGGAGGGGGAGGAGGGAAAGGAGGACAAAGAGGGGGTTAGCAATCACAGAGAGGTCTCACAATGCGAGTCTGATGCCCCAAATCTCCACATTTTCGGTGTCGAACAAGGAAACCTTTGACTCTCCGCTCTCAGCTCCGCAAACGAGAACTGGGTCGAAGAAAGACATTCTCAATCCTTCCATCTCGAGGGCGTCTGCTGTCCGCGGAGCTGCCATACGTGCCCTTCCATCTCTCCGCGTTTCTTACATTGTAATCCTCATCTGAATTCTGCTCGTCGTACTCGTTCTTTCCTCGGCTTTCTTCTCCACCTCGGCTTTCTTCTCCACCCTTTCATTTTCGCACCGCACCACCGCACCGCTAACTCCCTCTCCCTCTCGCTTTCTCTCTCTCTCTCTCGTCTGACCCCCAATCCTCTCAAGCAGGAAATGTACAAACAGGAAAACTAAAAGCTATGTACTATCCTAATCGTAACTGCTTGTAGAGGACGGGGGGAAACAGGAGAGAGTGAGGGGGAGAAGTAGAGGGGGAGGGGAGGAATAACACAAACCTCTCAGACTGACACTGTGAACAGAAAGATCCCTCAATGACAACGACAAATCTAAGATAAAACTACCGTCTCAAATAGCCAGAAACGAATCTCCTGATGGTCCCCCCCCACCAAAAAAAAAACAGAAAACAAAAAACAATAAAGAAAAAAGAACTGAAATTTCAATCGAATCCAAAATCGTTCAAAAGAAGCTGTTCAGTATTCCCTGACTAGCCAATCACAACCCTGGGATAGCTATAAGGGAAGCTCACCACCGTTTATGTACACACAGCTCTTCTTCTGTATGTTCCACCTTTACTCGTTCTCACACCTACCCGCTTTCAACACCATGCTTATCCCTCTCTCTCTCTCTCTCTCTCTCTCTCTCTCTCTCTCTCTCTCTCTCTCTCTCTCTCTCTCTCTCTCTCCCCCCCCCGGTCCCCGGTCTAAAGAACTGACCACTTACTTTTGGCGCGGAATACAGTAAATTATCGTATAGTCAGTGCACCCTTCACAGTCGGCACAGCTTCGCCTACTTGCTCTCAGTGAGTTGATCACACCCCGGCTTCTGCCCACGGATGGTGGAAGCAGAATCAGATTCAGCTCTCTCACCTGTGTGCTGCTGCGAGGAGGAACGAAAAGGAAGCAGCACCGTAAACACGTAAGCGAAATGATAAGGCCCTACCAACTGTAGTCGAGTCGAAGCTTGTCCTCGTGCGCCTCCTGCTTTTTCCCATTTTTTTGCTTGAATCTGTCTACGCATTAAGTACTTGGGGCGAGCACGGAATCAAACGACACACGTAATCGAGACAAGGGGGGTTGGGGGGGAAGGAGGGGGGGGAGAGAAACAAACGAACGAATACGTAAGCCAAGCAAAACCAGTAGATATGGGAGGAGAGCATCGGTCCAGCTCACTGCGAAGTTGCAGGCAGGCCAATCTCTGGCCTGACTGCATCTCCTGGCTAAGAAACTTTGCCTCGACCTGTAAAATAACTTCCGCCGCGCTCGAAGCGCTCTGCGCTCGAACCCTCTCGCGCTCGGTAGACGTGCGAATCTCGGAGATAGAGTAGAGACACACATATAAAGCAAACGGGGAGAGGCGGAAAAAGGATGAGGAGGGAAGGAGTCAGTTTGCCGCCATTGGCCCTCAGACGAGATGAGGAAAATGAAAATCGGGGAAGGAGTCTCGCAGCGCCTGCCTCCAAATGTGTTAAAATGGCGAGTCTATGGTCCTCGCCGCACCACTCACCAAATGCAAAAACGACAAAAATTATCGCGGTGCATCTTTCCATGTTCTAGAGGAAGTTTCATTCTCGTTTTGTACATTTCGCGAGGAATGCAGCGAGGCCCAATCTTCCGCTCGAAAGCGGGAAAGGGATACCCGCCCCCATTCGTTGCCTTTGCCTTCTGCACACTACGAGAGTGGCGGAGCGAGGCCCAAGAGCAGCCGAGGAATCGATCATATTACTAGTAATAAGCGCAACCAAGGGCATGGTCAACTAACTATGCTACTACGCTCTGGACATCATTGCGGTCAGATTCGTCCTCCTCTGCCCGTAATTGCACCCAGCTGCATTTAGCAAAGTGCTGGTGTGAAAGTACCATGCCTTAAATGGGGCAGACAAGGTACATGGCACTGCTGGGCGGCGGACCCGCTCCGGTTGCTGTTCCATCTTGATCTGGATCCGATGTGTCAGGGTCCCAACGCGCTGGGTTGCCTGTGGGCCGCCGCTTCTTGACTTCCCAAATGATGCTATCGTCGAGTTGCTTGAGCGAGTCCAACGCCTCTTTGACACGTGGCACGAAGCCCAAGATGTAGCGATCTTCCATACCGGAATATTCTCTGCCGAGATCCCGCCATAACCGCTCATAACCCTCTCTGCTGTCCCGTCGGATCCACTTCGTCTGCTGCATGAAATCGTCGAACGCTTTCACTCGGTAATGGTTCAAGCGGACTTCCAAGCCGTCGAGGGGCAGAGTCACGCCGTGTGTGGGAATGAATAGGTGCGCGTTCTCCACCGTCAAAAACCTGTCCGCCTTCACAAAGCTTTTCCCGTTCTTCATGTCCTGACGTCTGACTGGGGACCACGTGGCGTCCGGAGTAATCAGCGGTCGTCGTTCCGTGTAGCTTTCCAAAACCAGCCCGCGCGGATGCTTGATTTGACCGGAAGGACCGAAGAGAGCGTAGGGCAAGTACACGCCGAACACGTCGTCATCGTCGTTATACCGCTCCAAAAGCTTAAGGAATTCACCAGGGTCGTAGCTGTCGGCCGGAGGCACGGAAGAGCGGGCATCGAGCCCCACCGCAGGCGCTTTTTGGCGATGTTTACCACCTCCACCACCTCCACCCCCTCTACCTCCTCCTTCCGATTCTCTCCCTCCCGCCGCCGATCCGCCCGCCTGCTCCGTGGCGTTGCAAGGCGGGAGACTCGTGTTCGCCTCCCCCTCGTCATTACCCCTTGCGACGGCGTTTCCCGCCGAGCACCCCCCTTCTTCACCAGATCCTTCCTCCTCCCGCTTTTTGCCAGCCCCCTCCCTTTCTCCGCCGTCTTCCCCGCTCCCCCCGGCTCCCGCTTGTTCTGACGTTCTTCTTTTCTCCGCACCCATAACCACGACGAACTCGTCCACGTCCACCATCCCCACCCATCCTCCCGCCATACTCGACCTGAACCGATACACGCAATCCCCGTACACCGCCTGATCCCTCCTCCTCCCCGCATCTGGCCACCATACGTACGTCACGACTCCGAGCGCGACAAATGGGCGAAGCGCTTCGAATAACTCCTCCTGACTGCTGTCGTCGTAGACGAAGACATGCTCCACGCCGTGAAGAAGATGATGCACCAGCCATTCTCGGAGATATCGGCTCTGATCCCTTGTCTTCATACAGATCGACAGCTTATACCGCCGCCCTGGGGACGGTGGGAACAATACCACCGGCTCACAGAATCGAGTGCGGGCGATGGTCGAATTAGCTTCTTGGCGCACTCTCACGCAGCGCCCTCGCAAATCGTTCACAGCCCATAAGTTACTCAGCGACAATGACAATGACGACGAGGACGAAGACGAAGACGACGAGGGCGTCGAGAAACGAGAGTAATAGGAGTCGCCAATGCCGCCGTCGCGCTGCTGCTCGGTGCCCGCCACCGCAGCGGCCGAGGCCGCCGGCGGGGCTTCGCAATACATAATTCCAAACTGTTGGACGGGCAGAACATGCATCGCCGTAGCTTGTCCGTCAGGCCAAACACAGGAAATGTTATACTTGGCGTAATTTCGCGCCCGATGACCATCGAAAATGACGGCTCTAGCAGGCGGCCGACCGGGACGATAACACCCGTACGGCGCCTTTGAGCAAGAATAAGTGGCGCCTTCTTTCCTAACCGTCACCAAGTAGCCATTCATCGTCTTCCTTGCAGGAGGAGGAGGAGGAGGAGGAGGAGGAGGAGGTGGTGGAGACAGCGATGAGAAGAGTCCCTGCTGCACGGCAGGCGGTGGACGCTTCGCAGCTAGCCATCGGGGGAAGGACAAAGGTGTCGAAGGCAGAAACGGAGAAGGGAACGCCGACGTACTGATATCCTCTTGAACGTACAATCCATGGTACTTCACCCCTTTTCTCCTCCTCAGAGCGATGCTGGGAATGCGACATAGTCCCCACCTCCTTTGCTCCTCCTCCTCGGCCTCCCTTTTCTTTTCCACGTCCTCTCCGGTCTCCTTCATTGACACGTGTGCATGGGCGGAAGACGACCGCCGTCGCGATCCATAGACCAATTCGCGGAGCCGCGGATCCAGCTCCAAAGTCAATTGCCCAGGTGGCTCACCTCCGTCTCCGTCTCCTCCTCCTCCTCCTCCTCCTCCTCCTCCTCCTCCTCTACCCTTATCTACCACAACCACAGACCACCACGATGACGAAGAAGAGAAGCGTGATGCAGTCGGACGCAGCAGCGACTGATTCCCCCCTGGCAGGATAACCCCCGTAGTGACGGTTTCTACGTCGCCATGTCCAGCATGAAATGACGTGTACCAGAACGCGCCCGCTAGCAAAAGCATGAGCTGCACGATTGGCAGCAAGCTAATCAGGCGCATGCGAACCGGGAACCAATTGGTGCCCGTGACAATCGCAAACTGTGGCGAGGCACCAGGAGACGGCGGGGATAAGGCTGCCGCCGTCGCTGAATCACCGACCATGGCAGACGGAGAGAGCAGATGAAATTGCGAAGACGATGATGACGAAGAAGGCGAGGAGGCAGAGGAGGGGGGACAAGACAGAGAAGAAGCACCCATCGAGGTAGCACTAACGGCGGCGGAAGAAGTTGACACACAAGAACTACCCGTAGCACTAACGGGGGTTACACTGGAGCAAGACGAGAAGGGGGAGAAAGGCGGGGAGGAGGGAGTCAAGGTCGAAGAAGCAGACGAGAAATGCCAGGGAATCATGGCCGCAGAAGAATGATTATTGGCAGTGCGGAAACACGGAGGAGAACGCGCTCGAGTCGGGCCCGGATCGGCGCGGCCTTTCATCCTACTCGTTTTCTCTCTCATATCCATTTACTTCACTGTACGTTTCCCTCTGCACACACTATCGCCCGTCTGCACACCTTTTACAGTAATATGCCGGCTTCTCCTCTACCTATGTCCTCCTCCCTACGTCAAGGTGTCAAGGTAGGTAATACCAATAGGAGTCAGCGAGGCGGACCGAATTCCTTGACCCTCGTAAAATGTCCCTATATCGTTCGTTGTTCGTCTCGACCTTGTAGCGTGCAACTCGAAGGCTCGTCATGGACTCTTGCCCCCCCCCGCCCTCCCCCTCCCACACATCAACTAGAACGCACTGCCGATGCCGAAACGTTGTGCTACTTTGAATTCCTCCTTCTTCTCTACCCTTTTCTTTCTGCTTCCTTCTCTTCTTCCACTCCTCTTACTTTTCTTGTGCTTGGCCTACCATCACCCGAATACACCACACCGAAAAGCCAACATCTGTCATCGCACAATTTTTTTGACGGAGTACTACCGAGCCCCCGGGAACGGAGATCAGTGCTCAGCGAGCGCAGGGCACCATCGAGCTGAGCCTTCCGATTGACAGAGAGCCCCAACATCCACACCACGTTCACGGCAATGACGAACACACAGTCGCGAAGGAGACGAAAGACAAGAAGAAGTGAGAGAAGAACAGGGAGAAGAAAACAGAGAAGGAGATGGTGGACAAGAGCGAGAGAATGAGGACGACAGGGACGAGAGCGAGGAAAGAGGAGAAAAAACTGTGGGAGGAGGAGGAGGAGGCAAAAAAAGGGAAAAGCGAAATTTGAGTTAGGCGAGTTAAGACGGATAGTTCGCGCTTGAGGCGTGTCGTTTCGGTTGTGTTACGTCTAAGGGATGCTCTCTGTGGGGATCTTGCGACTTTGTGAACCCTCCTTGACTCTGCGAGGAACTACTATGAAGTAAGCCCTGGAGTCGCTTGACTGAATGAATTGATGACCAATCCGTTCATCTGTTCGCCCCCCCCTACTGCAATCTTCTACCTTTCTCATCCAGACCAACGGCTGTCTAATTTACAAGGTCAGCTGTGATGAGCTCCGACCATCTGAGTGGCTCTGTTCTGCTGCGCCTCCTCTATTCCCTCGCCATGTTCTATACGCCAGAAGACACAGGGAGCAGAGCGTGCACGGACAGGCCGAAATCGTGCTGCTATCTGAAGCCCCAACGACCACTTCTCAGGCGCTCGTCGTCTCTCCCTGCTGCTATTCTCACCACTGCTGTCAGCAACAGCCATTGGCTCTTTCGCCCACCCGCACCTGGACTCCCTACTCCCTCCCATCTCCTCTTTCATCTTACATCTACGGAACTATCATCTTCTCTTTCATCTCACGTCTACGGAACTACCAACCAACAGCCCCCCTCCCTAGTATTTCTCAATTCGCTCACGAAAAAAAAAAAAAGTATTTTACGACTTCCTAGCAGCAAAACTACGGGAATGTCTATCACCTTGTCTACTCACACAGAACTGCTCTAACATCATTTTCCTGACTCAGCCATCTCTCTCTCTCTCTCTCTCCTCTCTCTCTCTCTCCTCTCTCTCTCTCTCTCTCTCTCTCACTCTGCCCCGCCCCCGCCCCTCCCGCCGGGCCTTCCAACCATCCCTCCTTGACTGCTTCCTGCCCCACCCACGCCCTGCCTCACTGACGCGTGTCGCACGTTCGTCGGCTGTACGGTTGGGTTCGCTTTCCCTGCACCATCGTGCGCGCCCTCCTTCCAGTAACGCAGGAATGTTTCACTCGCGTTCTTTTGTGACCTCCTGCCGGTCAGGATTCACCTAGTTTTGCGCCACTTTGCAGCACCGCGCACGCTCTCCCGGCTTGGAGCAGAAACAGGTGCGGCGTTCCACCATTACATCTCCGGACGGGCAATCGCTGGGCCCTTGAACCCCAGTACTGTTATGTGGACGTAAGTAATACTAAATATGGTACCCTATCACCACAGGACTTCGTCCGCTGAATGTGACCGTAAGAGGGGAAAGAAACATCTGGGGGAGGTTTAGACTACCGTCTTCACCCGAAAATAACGCCAGGGCGTCTTTAGACACTCCTTGGGGACCCGAAATCCACAAGGACGTGCTAGTTCCACCTATCCTGCGGAAAAAAAATGTGAAAACGGCACAAGGATATTTCCTTATGGCGTCCTTGTGGCTCCAGCCAATTTCTCCTATTCCCCAAGGGAGGGACCTCGGAGCACATGGAAGCGCTATTTTCGGAGCCACGAAGGCATGCGCAGACGCAGAGTTTCGGTTTGAGGGTTGTCCAAACGTGGTCTGCCCAACTAGAGCACCGACATCCACCATCGCGAGGGTACCCCAACGGCTCCAAACGGTCACCGTCCGCGTAAGGCCTCCACCCGACGAATCGGTCCTTGCCGGCCGGTGTCATGCGGTCTGCTGCACTGGGAGATTGTCGACAACGGTCAGAAATTCAAACGCTTTTCTGCGGCGGCGCTTTCTTCACAATGGAAGTGTTTTTTGCACGATCGTCGTTTTCATCGGTTGTCATCACATACTGCACAACCAAGCACACTCCCACTGCCCTCGAGTTGCCGCTCGTTCTGCGGCCCTTACATGGCCGACCTGCAGCACAAGCTGCCTCTACTGCTCCTTATCGCCGTGCTGCTTGTGATCGTTGTCTTCTTCCATGTGTGTTTCGTCGGCCGGCTCTTTGTCGCGGCTCGGAAAAGAAGGGCTTTGAAGAATGGTGACAGGATGGAGCGACGAATGACCAACGGCAGACCGACAGGCACGACAACAGGATTGAGCAATCGGCAACGCACTGCGGGGTCTGCGGGCAAGCAAGCATTCGACCCGGTGTTGTATGCTCACCTGCCTTCGCATGAGATTCCTCTGCCGTCGACGAATGACGAGCGCGAAGACGTGAGGTCATCAACTGTGCCGTTGGGAAGTGGCTCCACGCAGGATTGGGCGGGGATGCAGTCCTTCGGTGGCAGGCAGGCGGAGACCCCATGGTCTTACACGTCAATGTTGAACGAGGGTTGTTCAACAACGATGCCAATGCACTGGTTGATCCGAGCTTCCAGTTGTCGAGCAGCAGTGGAGCAGTGGTGACACACACTCGCGTCAACAATCCCCACCCAGATGGAGATTGCGCAGAGCAACCATGGGTTGGTCCCTGCGGGCCGCGAGATGGCGGGCTACCTCAAACGCTTTGCGAGGGGGGCGGGAATCGATATGTGTCGTCGATGCAGGCCAGGGGAGGAGGCAACGTAGATCAACGTCCGAAATCGATGCGATTGCCGCCTGCATCGAGAAGTGGATCCGGGACTCTATGTGGACGACAACGACAGGAGCATGCATCCGTGAAGGGTGCACACGTTGAACGCAACAACAAGCAGGTGTGGGCGGAGTGCAGGCAGACCTTGCGCCAAGTTGGAACAAACACCATAACGAGGGGGGTGCAAGGGCTCCACGTCAACGAAGGCGCCGATGCGGCAATTCACGAGCCGTACGAGTGTGACGGCATTGACGGTGGTGACGATTGCAACTCCAACAATTTGCTTGAGATTCGGCCCCTTGGGAGAAAGGTGAAGAGCGGTCGTGGGAGTGTAAGTAAGGGTTTCACGCAGAGGAATCGACGAAACAAGAAAATGGACGACGACACGTGCGAGAACAATGGCGAGGGCGTGAGAAATTTTTGGTCGGGCGAGACACGATCGCACTTGTAAGAACCAAAAGGGATCAAAATTTGTATTTCGCGGGTATGGGGCACAATTTTGGCCACATGAAAAATAGGGAATGGAAGTGGGAGGACGTGCGGTCGAGGTTGGAGAAGATGGGCGTGATGAGGACGATCATCAACTGTGGGAAGAAATGGGACAACTTAATGCCGCAGTTCAAGAAGGTTCACAAGTTTCAGCAGCTCTCCGGTAGGAAGGACTACTTCAAGCTTGCTTCATCAACCAGGAGATTAGAGGGTTTCAACTTCGTCATGGACTAGAGCGTGTACGACGAGATGGAGGTGATGACGAAGGGGGATCACACAATCCACCCCAAGAATCTGACAGACACGGGAGCGCCTTGGGGGGGTTAGGTGCCATCAGGCCCTAGGGCGGGAGGGGAATCCATGGGCAGTGAGGGCGGAAGGGAGTCCGTGGACGAAGAGCAGGGGTCGACGAAAGATTCTACATTCATCACCCGGAGCGTCAGGGGTTCCGAGAAAAGGAAGAACATGCGACAACAAACCTTTGAGGTTGTCGCCGAAGTCATGGACAAACATAGAACACTCATGGCATGCACCATGGGCAGCGCTAGCAAGCATCAATGCTCTATGATGTTACGATAGTGCAAAATCCTTGAGAGTGAAGTGAAAGTGCAAAGGAAACATTATGCTGCGGCGGATGAGGCGAACAAAATGATGTGCAATGCCCTTTTGGAGATAGCGAAAGCCATCCGCGAGAGATCATGACGAGGTCGGGGTGATGCGTTGTCGCGCACGGCGGTCCCACACCCTGCTGGGAGCGTCAAACCTCACGGTCATATCACGCAGGATTTTTCTTCAGAGTTGAAAAGAACCAGCCACCACTTCGACCGTGCGCGCGTACTATACCTCTCACGACACCCCACGACAGGTCAGGGTGGCGCGAGGTACAACTTACCTTTACCCAAGGGGCTTTCACCACCCTTAGGTACGCATATCCCTTCTGAGTTACCGGCCCACATGCGAAGGTTTTTACTTGCCTTTGTAGAGGTAGGTCGACCGAGGGTGTTTGCTCGATAGTCGCAGCATAGGAATGGGGTACACGTGGTAAGACGCCCAAGACTAACTCGTTAGTCAAGTCAGGTTCACGATGTTGATCCCCCTATCTTGGACTTTTTAAATATTCAGGTCGAAATTCTTAAAAGGTTGACTATTTCCGCTCTTGCGTCTAAGATGTATTATTTCTCATGACAACATGAACAAAGTTCCAATCAAACCTTCTTACTACCAAGGACATTTTATTCTACTTAACATGTTATGACTTAACTGAACATTAAATAGTATAGAGGCTACATATAAAAGGGTCTTTACGAATCAGACCCCGAATGGATATCCCAACAACAAGGGGGTCTGTCGGCCAAAGCTTAAATTCACGAGCAGCAACTTAAAAGACAAAGTTCTTGAGGTAAAAGTCACATCCATAATGAAATGGAAAGTGATTTTGAAAGGTCCCAACAGGTCATGCAAGAACAGGTATTGGACACAGTTTTTTAGACTGAGAAAGGGTCACGTCTCCTCGATGAAAAGTTATGTTTGTTCGTCAATAAGTCAAAGGCTACAGGCCCAGTCCAGTCATAATCCCACGAGTTAGTCCTGATTCAGACCGGGAGTCCAAAAGACAGGCCCGATGGCCCAAAGCAGCAGCAGGCCATGGGAAAAAATAATGGGACACACACTTTGCAACAATCGATACTGGGCAGGAGTCCCAGACACACTTGAGACTGAATGCAGGCCACGCGAGACTAGTCCAACACTATAAAGGATTGGCCAGCCTCCCATTTGGACAGGTGGTTCTCCTCGTAGTCTTAGTCAATCCGGCCGACGCGTGATAACACAGGTTGAGAAGCCGAGTTGAAGCCCCCGCAGCTATCTAGTACCTCTCGTCCCACACAGACGAATGTCGCGAAGTCAGCACAGGAGCCCCCCGTCTGCCAACAGACGAACTGAAGCACCAACAACTATCTCGTACCTCTCGTCCCGCACAAACGAAATCACACGAACTCGGCACCGACGACCCAGTCGGCCAAACCAAACCAACATTTGAAGACGCAGCCACCGCCCACCGCAAAACTCTGCCGGTTAGTACGTGCCAAAGAGTGGCGAACTGCGAGCGTACAAGGGAAACTACTTAACAAGGGGGGCAAGGTTTGAGCCTCCGCTTTCGAGCACAAAAACTCCACAGAGTCACCCTCCTGATGAGGCCTGGTCACGGTGGACAGGCGAAAACAGTCGAGGGATTCCACATGCTGCTCTGTTTTATAGTTCATTGGTCCTTTGCATGCTTAGTTATTTTCAATTGGATCTTCATTTGGTTTTGAGTTGTTTTGGACATGGCTGCCCGGACTGTGAGCCGCAATCGTCGGGCTTAAAGCCTATGAGTGGTACCGATTGGGTTCGAACGCACACTGAATCCAGCCCTAAGCACGGTCCGATGCATCTATCCTCCCAGTGTCCAGGCGTTTTCTCAGTCGTCCCCCCAAGACTCGTAAAAACTCCGAAGTATCAATCGAACTTGGATG